CATACGAAAGAACTCTCTTTGCCAAAGATCTAGAAATGTTTTGTTATGCTTGGATGAACCACTTTCCGCCAAAACATTAAGAGTTACAAAGGTTTGCAAATGTGGGTTAAATATTAGGCAGGGGAACTGTCAAAGAATGCGCTCTCGCCTGAAACACGCACAAACCACACCCATTTAGTAGTTTTCATTTTAAAGCACTCAATACAGTGAACCAGTACAGACTGCACTTCAACTGTAAAAGCTATAATCACATTGTAGATCTTTAATCATGAACTGTATGTATTTCTCAATTTGTATTCTAAAATCAACTCAAAATGGGCAGTTACCATAGGTATTTACCATGATAGATACATAGACAATATGAGTAGCGAACATAGAACATGGCGTCACCTAATGTTGACCCCTCTTTTGAAGCCTCAAGTTTGCCATTTTGGCCGACACCATCTTGGTTTTTGGCAATTGCCTTCTTGGTTTGTAGTTAAAAATGATTTGAAACAAAAGGGATAGCTTAGTGAGACCGAACACCGTACTTACTTTTAGCCAATCAAAACGTAACCCCTAATTCATTTTCGTGACTGAACTGAAACACAGTTCAGGGTTCAAAGTTGTAACAATCATAAGGTAGCCATGCCCTAAGTCATACCCTGCTTTATTTTCTGTTTTACACTAAATTTGATCAAATAAACATCATGTTGTAAAAAAAAGACTTAAAACTAAATATTGAGGCCATAAACTCATTAGGAACACTTTCACTGAGGGTACTACATTAAGTGTGAAGTTTGAACATTTTCTCATAGACTTCTACAAAATCGGGTGTCTTTTTGCAACCAGTTCTTTTACACACAGTCATAAACAATTTTGTATTGGTGTATGGTTTGATATCATTATCCGTACAGCCCAGCTTGATGGTTTTGCTTCGTTTATTGATTGGGACAGTGCATTATAAGAGTTACGCTTGAAAACAATGATTACCGTTAAAAGACTTTAATAAAGCTAAATTACCCATTTAAAGGTGGGGTAGGTTCACTTCAGAAACACTTTTTGTTATATTCCATGGAATGCTCTTAATATCCCGATAGCAATTAATAAATGAAATGCTTTGACAATATATATATAAAAACATTTCATCTGTGGAAGCCGTGGCGCTGTACAAAGCACGACCAATCGGCCTGGTTAAAATAACTGGATGGCCTACCTGCCTGTCAGCCTTCCATCTGTGCACAAACTTATCTCGTGCCCTCATTGGTCATGTGCACGTTTGTGTGTGTTGGAGGAGGGGCTCTGTAAGGAAGTCTGAAGGAAGGGGCAGATTTTTTTCGGCTGCGTACTTTCAAATTCTAGCGCACTCGAGCTGGTTTCTCCATTCTTACCTACCCTACATTTAACTGTAATGGAATGTTAATGTTAAATTATATCTGTTGTAATTTATTGTCTTTTATTGTGATTGTAGTAATGTGTTTTTATTACATGTACAGCACTTTGGCTTGACCAAAAATCGCTTTTAAATGTGCTTTATAAATAAAACTTGATTTGATTTGATTTGATAACAGGAGACAGTTATACAATTTGTCTTTGTTTTCTCTTAAAAATTGATTTGAAAAACATAAAGACTTTTTCTGACTGCTTGTGTTTTTTCAAATGTTTACCCATATTTGCATTAACCCTACATCCTTCATTCAAGATTAAAACATATTTTATAAAATATGTATTGGTTCCTGTTTTCCGAATCAAAACTGTGAGTCATAGGTCTCTTTTCTGATCAAAGCATTTGTAACAAAAAACAAAATAAGTATCTATTAGTTCTAACTGCCTATTTCATGACATCCGATAAATATACCACAGAAAATGTAATGATTAGGTAACCTGGAAGGAATGGACTTCTCAACTCCTTTGCAATTGTGTAAACGGATGCATCTATATGACTAAACAGGAACTGAAACAACACGTTCAGGGTTTCCCACGCCACCCATTTAGTTTTCTTTTTTTATTCGTCCGCGACCACGACGCCATCTGCGATCGATTAACTTGTGGACAATGATCCCAGGCCTGTTAAGTGGCCTGCTGGCCTGAGGATTTTTTAATTTTTTTGTATGTATTGTGAACGCAACGCTGCGCAAATGTGGGTCTGCCTCACACAGGGTGACTGGCTGTCTACATGATTTGGCCTGCAGACATGGCCACTGTCATACAGATCATACATCAGAGCTCTCGATTGGTCTCTGTGTGTCATTCAAGCTCGGGATAACCTCAGCTCAGCTGAGGTAAAGGACTCTGAGTGTTTTATCTAGTTAACTTAGTCCAAGTTCTCAGTGGGTCTCAAACGGTTTGGTCACCATTTATGTAAACACATTTCCATTTGAGGGGGTAGTGATTAGTACTTTTAGTACTTTTAAAACTTGTTCAGAGCTAAAACTAGTCTTTGCTGCTGCCTCAAAGAGGAGCAGGGGGGAGAGGAGGGAGAGAGGAGAGGCTGGTTCAGGAGCCCAGACACACTCACAACTATAAATGAACCAAAAATAAATAAATAAAGTTTCAGTGTTTCTTCATATTGGAAATGGTATGTTATTGGTTATGGCCATGATTTTATGATTATTGAAATGTATACAGTTCTGTTTCATATAGGTGTTCCCATAGATCTAGTCTCTTTATTTTCCCCTCAAAATGCACCAGATTGATGCATTTCACTCCAACATTTAAAAAAAAAACTTACTGGGGGAGCATGAGAGAAACAGATGTAGGACTCCATATTGAAACGTTCCTGGCAGCAGGGGATGAAGACAAAGGGGGGAGGGAGAAAAGGGCAGACAGAGATAGAGGGGGGGGTGGGCAGTACTAAAGGAAAAATAAGAAGTGAGACAGCGCGACTTGAACGCTAACCACAACCAGATGGGCTAGTGAGGGGGGAGCAACAGTGAAAAGAAAGCAGGCGGAGAGAGGGAGAGGAACACTTTCACAGAGGAGGGAGGAAGAGGGTGGGGCTGATGAGGAGGAGGAGAAGGGAGGGCTAGTGAGGAATTTTTTCCTATACCGACGAGGCTCTTTCTCCCCTCCTCGCGAATGAGAGAGAGGCTTTATGTAATGGGTAGGATGCAATCATTGAGGCTGTTGGAGAGAAAGTCCCTAAGTAGTTCCTCTCTGACTGGGGAGCCCTTTTTTCAGTGAAAGACCACAGCTATGCCACCACAGAGGACGGAGAAAACAATGTTCAAACACACCCTCATTTTCTTTCTGTAGCTCTACTTTAGATTGAGACAGAAGACTCAACCATTTCCGATTTTCTCTGTAAATCTTCTTTTGATCTCTCATTTCGTCACAAGGCAGATGACTCAGGTTGTTGGCCGATTGGGGGAACCGATGGGTAAATGTGGACGCTGCTTTGTAGAGTTCAAGAGGCGACAGCAGCTAACTATATAATGGAAAGCGAGCTTTTAACAGTCACATGATGAGCGGTGTGTCCTCTGTTAGTCCTGGTCACAAGCCGCTGGTGATTTTGGCCAGTAAACTTCACCCTAACGTATTTCACACCTCTTTAATATTCTCACGTCCAGGTTACTGAGGGTCCACTTTGTACATCCTGTAATGTACTGTATACATTTATAAACAATGCTCTGATTGGCTTGACACTGGTCAATAGTGCTGGAATAATAAGTCCATTAATCGATGAGTGGAATAACAGAGCTTCGTTTTCCTTTTATATCACAGAATACTTTTTTTGTTGATTGCACAAACTGAGGAATTTGAAGAAATGACCTTAAACTCTGGGGAATTCTAACAGGCCCTTTCACTATTTGTGTGAATTTTGTTATATTGTTATGTTATTTTGACAAAAATTCCACTTTCATTATTTCCTAGTTCACACTTTTTAGCTCTTAGTGTGCAAAATAAACAACACATTCAAGTTAACTTTTAGATAAAACATGTTTTTAACTTAAAGACCATGTGTTCATCACATTGAACTGAGTGGTGTGAAACAACTATATATATCGTCTGAGCAATGAGTGTATGTGTTTGTTATTATCAATTCAGATGACTGATTTGATTAAATCAGCAATTTCTAGACATGATTTCATCACGATTCGATGTGATGATTAATTATCACATTGGATTACTGCCCAGCCCGCTATGAGTGAATTATAACTCCCACATGATGTTTCATAAAAGCGCTTATGAACATAAGCTTAAATATCTTTAACTTGTGAATAATTCATATCAAATTCATCTTTATCAGAGGGCCTTAAAGAATCATCTGTTATTGCCCCCATTACTAGTTAAGGTGGACCTTTTATAGGTAACAATCATTCCACTGTCAGTCATTGCGGCACATCAATGAAACCTTAAAAGGCAACGATTGCTGGTTTCATGATCTGGCTATGTTGTTTTAATAAAACAGTGTAACTGTGTCTCTTTAAGCAAATCCTCAATGGAGATCTCTCACACCTGTTGAACTCTATTTGTTTGGCTTTGACATGTGTTTTCTAAGATTGGGCTGATCATATAACCTGCCAGGGATTCATTACATGTAAACTTTTATTTTGAAATGTCTGCCAAAGTCACATCCTGTGGTCTGACTACCTAATATGATAGTGTGATGCATTTGTTGCTATTTTGAGAACAGCCCTAAATCATATAAGTAGATAGTAAAGAAATGGAGATTATACTGGCACAAGCTTAACAAAGTGAGAATTCAAAATTAAAATGTAAGATGAAAGATTATTGCCATTTGAACAATTCTACTGAGTAACATTCAACTGTGTGTGGTAAGTGGAAAAAGGGGCAGTGTCGTTGTGTGGAAATAATGTAGATCAGCAGAAATGCCAGAAACACCGCAATTTTCCAAGTGTGATTCAGTCGTAAACAAGGTTAAGAGGATTTTTTTTATTTGTTTTTGCCACAGGCCTCGCCATTACTGGACTGTGTCCACAGGTTTGAGGTTTTCAATCAGACAGCGTGAAGGCGCAGACAGAGGCAGAGAGGAGTTGTGGTAAAGATGAGATACGTACTGATGTAAAAGGTGTTGGGGGCCTGATTTCCATCAATCTGCAGTACCAGCAGGTTGCTGGTCTTGGGGTCGTGTCTCAACCACAGGGCCACGCCCAGAATGACACCTCCGGCAAGCTGCAACACACAACACAACACATGAAGTTCCTCCTGGTCACGACATTGCACTTGCATGAGGCATGATGAAAATGTTATCTCACGATTATCCTGTAATTGCAATTTAACATATTATCCTGAAACATACTGGAATAACTTTGCATGACATTTTGTCAACAAATAAATAGTTGTAATGCATTGTATATAGAGGACAAGCAACTTGTATTAGTAAACATCTTCTCTAGTGAAAAAATTAAACAATCTTTACGAGGTTATCATAAATCATTAAGTCAGTCCTGATAGAAAAATTAAACAATAGCAACAATTTCTGAGTCATGTTCTTCTTCTAACATGGCATTTTTTCATGTTTTATCCTGATAATGGAAATCCATCAAGGGGCAAAAAATGATATATCATATATGTATTAGCCATACGGAGTGAACTGAAACAAAAGTCCTGTTCCAGTCCTACACTGTAAAATATGACCATGATTTCACAATATTTAGCTGTAATATTTTACAATAAATTACTGTTTTACCACTGTACAGTCTTTACCTGTAATGTTCACAATATAATACTGTAATTTTGAATTTCACAGTGAAATCAATGCAGGCACAGTTAATTACTGTGAATGTACAGGATAAATGATTACCAGGATTTCACAACATGTTACTGTATTATTTCATAGTAAAATACTGTATTCAGACCATCCTCTGTGATAACACAACAAATTAAGTGACTTTTCTTGCTTTTATCGCTCTTGCTTGGCTTTAAATACTAATTTCTTTCATTGGTGCAGGTTTTACTTCAATTGAAAGGGGCACCGCTGCATGTGCCTTAAAATAAACGATGCAACATATAAATCTATGTAAAATTGAAATTGTTGTGCTTGAAATGCTCGTTACCAAGTACCGGTTATTGCGTGTATTCTTTCATGTTGCGGGTCTCAGCACGAGCCACTACCGCGGAGTAGAGGTTGGGGCCGTAACAACATGTCCAAGACACTGTGAAATGTACTTTGCACTTCAATGGAGTAATAAAAAGTTAAAATGGGCATTTTCTTTTTCTTTCTTTTTCTTTGTTGATTGAGCTGATTGAATTGTGTAGTTATGGTAAAATCCCAGTTAACTAGTCAAATTTCGTATTATTTACATTTTTATATTTACAGTAAATTACTGGCTACTGTGTTGCATTACTTTTACAGTAAAAGTGTGAAAATACAGGTAATTACTGTAATTTATGTACAGCAAGGTACCATAATACCACAGCTCTGCACTGCTATATCACAGTAATTCCATGGGCACGGCAACTGTAAAGTCACAGTATTTAGTTGTACTTTTATTCTAATTTACTGTAAAATATCTACAGTAAATTACTGTGAAATATTTACAGTCAATTACTGTGAAATACTAGTAGCAAGTAATTTACTGTAATTTTACAGCCAAACATTTTACAGTGTAGTTTAATCACAGAACTATAAGCTGCCAGTATTTCATGTTTTCATTTTCTTCCTTAAAGTTTAGAGAAAGCACGTCTGTCTGCTTGTTATTACGAAGACAGCATTAGCTTAAGTGTCAAAACTTGCTGTGTGTTAGTATTTGATACAAATATGAACAATACTACACTCACGTGTGTATACTCTACATCAGGGGTTCCCAACCTTTATTGTGCCAAGGACCGGCAGATACATTAAAAAAAAATCGCGGACCGGTTGTCAATTTGAACTGATTTTAATATTTACTCACCAGCAGGTAGCAACAGAGGCTAATTGTATGTAACAGCCTGAACAAATACTAGAACAATATGCATCCAAAACATATTAACAACGTTTAAAAAAGAACCGGTGTCGTTTTTTGATTTTTCAGAAAACCAAAAAACCACGTTATTCAGTTTTTAAACCAAAACAGATAAATTAACGTTTTGGTTTTGTTTGTATGATTTACGGATAATCCAGTGAATGCTGGGAAAACGAGGAGAAGGCGCATTATGGAGATGTCCGGTCGCCAGGGTGTGTGTGTGTGTGTGTGTGTGTGTGTCACTGGAATTTGTTTTCAGAAGATATTATGATAGTGTCGTTCGTTCCGGTGCACTCCGACAGCATTTAGCACTACATCGAGATTAAGATTAAACTAATTTATTTTGGGAACAGCCGCATATATGGAGTTAGCCATATGTGTGTAAATGACTGTTCATAAACATTTGAAAACAAATGCCGGTGTCGGACAGACACGAACACACAGAGCTGAGCAGAGCACACACACACACATCATGCGCCTTGGTGACTGACTGGACATCTCCTTCATAAAACTAATAAAATATATCTCAAATAATGTATGCACCACCATTTCCCCACATAAACATAACAGTCTGCAATCAAACGGTTGTCTCCTGTGCGCTCCTCTTCCTACTTGGCGCACCGGTAACATTCTCGCGCACAAGAGGCTGAGACCTTAGGCTGAGCCGCCGAATCCCTCGGAACATCATAAAAGCCATTTTCAACGGTTTTCTGGTGAAAGATTAACTAGCTACTGGATGAAATAATATGACTGGTGGCATAGGTGCGAAAATTAAACACTTTTTGAAAAAATATTATGATAAAATATTTTTATATATTTATAATTCTGCAAATATTACGATAAACTCACAGCTATTTCGCGGCCCGGCAGTAACACCTCCGCGGCCTGGTACCGGTCCGCGGACCGGGGGTTGGGAACCCCTGCTCTACATGAGCTAAACTAATTAGCTAGCTGCTGGATGTAGCCTAATATTAATCCGACAGACAAGAGGGTGGTATCAATCTTACTGTTAATTGTACTCTCTGAATCATTGTGGGTATTTCTATTTCACAAAATGGCATATCTTTCCATTAACACTATAAAACCTGCCAGGTTTTACAGCATAAAACCATAGGGGCCTATAGTGGGAAATTAGCAGAGGTGCTATTTCACACATTTAATGAGCAAGGCTGTTGTTTAGCTGATTATTGAAGATTAGAAGTATTCAAGATGTAGGTGACCTTCTAATTATAACTAGAAAATATGTTATTCAGTTGCCATAAACTTTTATGGATAGGTATTTTGTTAAGTTATTTTTACATGGTAGTTGTGCAAGATGAATAAGGCACATGGGCAGGGAAAGTTGAGCAATGTGGACATTTCTAATTAAAATGTTGAAAAACGTAGTAGTATGTGTTTCGCCTCTTTTGGCATAAGGATTGGGTAAACAGCTCGCCTGGATCCACCCAAACCTCTAAAGCTCACTAGAAACACAGCATATGATTTTCTGTAATCTTTACTTAGGGTGTCAGTTTGGTTAATTTGGCTTCCAACAGCCCCAACAGTTGAAGAGGAGCTTTCAGGTCACAAACTTTGCCGTAACATTTCAAAGAGCGTTACTCATTTAAAGGTGGTGACATCTTTACGTTTTGTGTTCTAAATCTGTAAATGCCTTTTATTTTATTTTACGCTGGCTATGCTTAAGTTCCTCCATTCGACCAGCAAGTTATCATTATCAGCTGATATTCGTTCAGAATAGTTTAATCGTTTGTCTCTCTATAGGCTGATCAACGGAGCCAATTAGATCATGCATCAATTTTAAATTGGAACATTTTCAATAATCATTCACTTGCTGAGAGAGACGCAGTTGGACACATACACATGCCCGTAGATTACCGTACAGATGGTAGATGTACATGACAGATTGACGTGTAACTAGTTAAACAAAGTTGTATTGGTTAACCCTTGATATCCCTAATTTGTGTACAAGCAGTGATGTAGAATCGAAAACTAGATACAGGGTGATAAGGAAACATTATGTCTTTCATCTAACTCTCAGCAAGAAGGTGATTAAGGGTTTTCCCAAATGTTCAAACTATTCCTTATTGGGTGTTTTTTGGGAGGCTAGTGATATCTTGAGAGTACATTTAAGGCAACCAGGCAAACAATGGAGCATCGAACATCTGTGAAACCTTTTGTTCAATTGGTTTTCATGCTTCCTCTTCCAACCAATTTCCTTGGGGAAGCCGTGCACATACTGCGATGTGTAACTTTGTTACTGAAATGTATTGTTTTTTCAGGGTGGTTTACATTGACATAAGCCTTCCTGAGCCCTTTTGTTTGGCCCTGGACAAAGAAATCCTAAATATAACTGGAGTTAGCATATACCTCAGCCAGCACACAGGAACAAGCACCACAGCGGCAGTCAAATAAACCCCCACCACCGACACCCCTCTGCTGCACATGGGTGGGGATATTTAATAATATATATATAAAGGATATATAGAAAATGTGGAGAAACAGAATATCTAAATTAAACTCGCCAACACTAGTTCCTGTGAAAAGAGTTGAACCAAAACAGGCTGATCTGCCCACCCCCCCAATCCATACTCCTCCTCTTCTTTTAGTGAGGTCCATTCCAGGGCTGAGGCCAGCTGCTGCCCAGCAACCAGATCAACACCATAACTGGAGGAGTGCAGATTCTCAACACACACACACACACACACACACACACACACACACACACACACACACACACCCACACACAGAATGACTCACTTACTTCAAGTGAACTCCCCACCTCCTAACCCCTGAATTACCACTGACTCGTCAATGACATGCATGAAGGTTTAACCAGATTTAAGCAGATTTACGCAAGGCTTTCATTTACCGCGTTTATATATAAATGATGAATAGAGGGAGAGCCCAGACAGAACATAGTTGAAATCCATGACGTGTTATGCTTCGCCTGATGTAGTCTCACATTGCCACAGCTATCTCCACTTGGTTTTAGTGCCGTGTCAGCACAGGGGGAGAGGTCTTGCTGAACTTCAGGGAAAAAAACGAATCACAAACGTCATGGGAAAAATTCCATCTGAGATAGGAAACCAATAACAGCCTGTTTTTATGATACTTGCATTTCTAACTTCAATAAAATACCTTGAAAAATGTGGATTTCTTTATACAAACAGGAGAAAACGACACAAAATTAAGGGTATTAAGTTTTAGATTTTTGGAAAAAGATAA